AAAAAAAACCACTTTAAAACAAAACATAAGAATTTATTATTAATAGTTAATAGTACGTTTTGTGATCACCCACTTTAAAACAAAGAATGCAGTACTATTTGCTTTTCAGATGTAATAATTGTCAGGAGTGTAAAATACTTGAGTAATTTTACTTGATTACTGTACTTAAGTATTATTTTGGGGGATTAGTACTTTTTCAAGTACAATTTAAACCGACTACTTGTACTTTTACTTGATTACATTTCTGAAGAAAAAAAAAGTACTTTTTACTCCTTACAATTTTATTTCATCTTGAAAAGTACACTACATTTTTCATTTGATCTTATGCACATATGGTAAACGAAAGCTCAAATGTGTGTGATTGACGTGAGAACCAATTATCATTATTTTCTTGCATCAAGCACACACATTTCTACTTCAGTTATGACTTTCATCAGGTAAATGTCTGGCTTCAAAAGTTCACCATCAAATCTGAGGAAGCATATTCAGGTAGCAAAGTTTCATTCCCCCCCCCCAAAAAAAGGTTCATTCATTATTCTTTCTGTTTTAATAGAGACATTAGCTGTGTAATATATTGGCTAAATGCACAAGACTGAGTGCAAATATAATCAGTGAGGAGAATTTAAATACAATTATTATTGTGGGAATTATGATTGTTGTTGTTGTTTTTGTTACAAATCTACAAAAAAAAGTGTTTAAATTAACATTGTATGTTAAATTAATTGTAATTCATGTTTAGTGAAGTTCTTACCAGGTAGTGGATAAGTTGTATTTATGTCATTATATGACACATTGAGTGGGAATTAGGACTGTCAATTAATACATTTTTTATCTTAATAATTACATGATTTGCTCATTAATTAATCTAATTAGTCACAAATAATTATTTATCAATATTTGCTGAGAAAAAACTCTAAATGCCCCAAATAAACAATTAAAAGATTAATTATCCTTTTAGACAGTGGCGTTGAATAGACAACACAAAAAAATGGCCTTTCAAAACGGTAATGTATGTTTTAATTCTATGACTCTCCTCATTAATTCAACACATTTTTGTATTCTGTCTGGAATATGTTTCTGGCCTCTGCATCACATTTGCATTACATGTGCATCACTTGCTCTTCAAAGGGATCGTTCACCCAAAAACGAAAATTCTCTCATCATTTTCTCACCCTCATGTCGTCCCAGATGTTTATGACTTTCTTTCTTCTTTTCACAAGCAAAGATTTTTAGTCTGTATAATGCAGGGACAGGACCACTTCAGAAACCACACAAAGTAAACACGATGGTCAAGTTTAAAATATTAGTATTTGTATTTTTCCTACATATGCCTATCATTCCACTTAAGGAAACACTGATTCATTAAAAGGGGTTGTATGAGTTACTGTCATATTCATTTTGTGTAGTTTTTGAAATGTCATTTTTGGACGTC